GCCAAGATAAATTGCATCCCTGCTGATACGACGACCTGGCAAAATGCAGGGACTGGGGCCTTCTTCCTGGAATCCCTACAACCTGTCACCACAGGGAGTCGTATCAAGAAACGGCGGCAAACGGACAAAGGTCAAAATAGAAAAACATTTACCAGATGGAACCTTCGGCCCAAAGCGCTTCATGAAAGCGGGCCAATCTCGAGTCTCCACCGCGTGAGGTAATAAGTGAGCTACCCAGTCCTCGATACCGGCGATGGGATGAGGTGTACGCCTCATAGCTGCATGGGAAAGTTACAAATAAGTACAAAGTTGGAAAGAACGAAAGTAAACTACAAGTATCAACACCTACGGTTATGATTCCACTGTTCTGGGAATCCAGCGGGGTCCGACACCAGATGCTCGGTTCTAACAAAGAAGTATTTATGCCAAAATCTGCGGCTTGCCCGGTCATCCGTTCCGACCACCATCCCCCTGGTCCCACGGTGCCTCAAATGTATCATAGTTCCCCTGTGAAAACTACGGGAAAACAAATGTAGAAGGTGATGAAGGCCAACTTCACACCCCGCCAACTCCGCGTACTTCGTCAATACCAAAAATATTTTGTACATATACGGAGAAAGTTGTATCGGGCAGACCTCATAAAAGCGAGAGAATTCATCCGCTAACGGAAGAAGAGGGAAAGAGTGGCCGATCGCAAAGGGGTATACGTAAAAGGCATAATATCCCGGTCTGTGGACATCTACGAAGTCCCTCCCGGCCGGAACCATCTCAACATGGGAGGGAATGTTATACGTAGATTGAAGGTCATCTATGTGAGCCTGCTCAGTCTCAGAAATCACCGAAGTAGGAGAAGGAACAAGCTCTTTAAGGAAATCATTCCGAGACATGGGGTTTCTCGGTAGTATCTCTTCCACGGTGGGAAGGCTCTCTCCTTCCTCTACCGCCACATCCTCACCACCATGGGGAGGCGCTATGGAAAGCGGGGTGGCATCAGAAATCTCTTTGTGGGAACGATGTGTTCTAGGCATCTCAATGGCAGAGGGTATATCGATAAACAAAGAACGATGAACGGAAGAAGGTGAAGAGAAAAATCACGAAAGTAGAGCTGAAGATACGAGAAGAGATGGCCAAAGAAGATAACATATACACCAAACAGGAAATGATCGAAAGTTCTTGAAAGAACCAAACTTTCATCTATTTATAAGGTTTATTTGGCGCCAGAATCGAAGCGAAAGGCGGCCAGTGGCACCAAAACCAAAGCGACAAGCCAATCGGTCTCTGCCTTGGGAAGACGCTTAATGATGACGCATGTGGGAGTGACATCATTTCCCGATAGGCTACACTATCTGGGGTGCCGTGGAACACACCGCTCTTTCGTTATTGATCAAACTGTTACGATCCAACCGCCAAATTTTTTTGCGGGTATGGGTGACGTCCGCTTATCAAGGACGCACTGGGCCGCGACCTCAACAAGCGGAGGGACTAACTGCATGGGTCCAAATTTGGCAACCACGACCATTACCGAGTAGGACGAGGAACGGGGTTACTATGATGCATTGTCTTGGTCGTCGTGGCGAAAGGCAACGACCAAAGGCGGTTAGTCGACACGTGACATCCACTATGATGTAAACTTAGTAGGAGACAGTAAGAATATACCTTTCGAATATTCTCAATATTGTACTTTTTAGGGTTTCTTGGGAGATTGTCCCTTATAAATAGTGATGAAGTAAAGAGTTAGATGAGAAAATTTAGTTTGAAGAATAAGCCAACTTGTGTCTAGCTTCTCACTGCACATATTTATACAAATACAAATACCAAGTTCCCTATACAGTACAAACTCTTGTACTTATCTCTATTCCCTAAACAATACAAACTCTTGAAACTTATCTCTATCACCCTCCCTCAATCTGAAGGGAAGGGACGTACATGAAGATTAAAAACTAATTGACCAAATCTAGATGATGAAAGAACCTTTGTAAATAAATAAGCTAATTGACAAGAAGTGTGCACATGAGATGCTAAAAGATCTCCTTGAGCCATCTTTTCCCGAATAAAGTGATAGTCTAGTGCAACATACTTAGTTCGAGAATGAAATACTGGATTATGAGCAAGGTGGATTGCACCAATGTTGTCACAATTGGCCATAATTGGAGATGCAAGGAAGACACCAAGATCACGCAAAAGATATTGCAACCATGTTGCTTCTACAACGGCAACGGCAAGAGCCCGATATTCTGTTTCTGTGCTTGATCGAGCTACAGTTGGCTGCTTCTTGGCAGCCCAAGAAATCAAATTGTCTCCAAGTAAAATACAAAACCCTGTTGTCGACCGTCTAGTAGCAGTACATCCAGCCCAATCTGAGTCGGAGTAAATGGTTAGCACAGGAGATGATTTGTGATGAAGTTGTAATCCTAAGTGACTTTTCCCTTTCAAGTATCGATAAATGCGTTTAACAGCTTGTAAATGGCTTTGACGAGGTTGATGAAGAAATTGTGATGCCAAATTCACTGCAAGATGAATATCGGGTCTGGTGAATGCAAGATATTGAAGACAACCTACCATTTGTCGATAGATAGATGGATCAGAGAGTAGAGAAGAAGAAGTTGAATTCCAATCCTGTTTGCTATATAATGGAGTTGAAACATGGTTAGAGTTAGCCAAATCAAACCGAAGGAGGATATCATTAATATATTTTCGCTGCAGCAGGAGAATACCATCAGAATTGGAGACTAATTCCACTCCAAGAAAATAATGTAAAGGACCTAAGTCCTTCATTGAGAATTCAGATCTCATAGAAAAAATGAATTGATCGATGAGTGACTTAGAAGAACCAAATACAGCTATGTCATCCACGTAGATAAGCAGAACCATTATTGCATCATTGGACTTGAAGACAAACATGCTATGGTCGGCTGAAGATTGTTTAAACCCAATGTCAAGCAAGTAAGTCGCAAGGCGCTTAAACCAAGCCCTCGGCGACTGTTTGAGGCCATACAAAGCGCGATTAAGCTTGCACACGTGATGAGGAAAATCCGGGTGCTCAAAGCCCTTAGGTTGGTGCATGTACACATCTTCATCCAACTCACCATGTAGAAAGGCATTAGACACATCAAGTTGATGCATACACCAATTATTTTGTAATGCCAAGGAGATAACCAAGCGCACTGTACTAAGCTTGATCACAGGAGCAAAGGTTTGAGTATAATCCAACCCCGGTTGTTGTGAAAAGCCTTGAGCAACGAGGCGAGCCTTAAGCCTGTCCACAGAGCCATCGGGTTTATATTTAATACGAAATATCCATTTACTACCAACAATATTTGCCTGGGGAGGAGGAGGGACTAAAGTCCATGTGTGATTTTGAAGAAGGGCTGTGTACTCATCACTCATTGCACGCTGCCAGTATGTGTGTTTAAGAGGCAACGAATAGCATTATTTATATGCCTATGCTTTCTTTCGGCTCTACCATTTTGAGCTGATGTATAGGGACAGGAAACACGATGAAGAATCCTTTTTTCTTTAAGAAAAGAATTGAAGAGGACATTGTCATATTCTTTTCCACCATCATATTGGAAATAAGAAATTGACGAGTGAAAGACATTAGAAATCATTGTGGAGAATTCCTTAAACTTATCTAATGCTTCAGATTTTTGTCGCATCAAATTAATCCAAGAACATTTGGTAAAGTCATCAAGGAACAAAATATAATAATGAAAACCAGAATTAGATGACACCGGTGCTTGCCATACATCAGAATGAATTAACTGAAAAGGAGCACTTGTTTTATTAATTGATAGAGGAAAAGATAAACGACTTTGTTTGCCCAAATGACAAACATTACAAGAATTATTATCAAAGGATGATGAACAACTAATAAGTTTCCTATGAGATAAGGCACCAAGGGAACTCTGTCCAGGATGTCCTAGGCGTTGATGCCAAACTGAAGGAGATGAGGTACTTCCAAACAAACTGAGGATGGAGGTACGCAGTGATTGAACCAAAAGAGGATAGAGGGAGCCAACGTTATCACATTGGAGTAAGACTTGCTTGGTCTTCATATCCTTGACAAAGAAAGTAGAGTTAGTGAATTCTATGTAACAATTATTATCCGCACAAAGACGCTGAATAGATAGAAGATTCTTTTTGAGAGCGGGAACATATAGAACATTATTAAGAACTAAAGATTTTGATTTTGTAGGAATAGAAGAAAAACCAGTGGAGACTATAGGAAGGAGATTACCGTTGCCCACCATGACTTTTGTTGAGCCAGTGTAAGGGGAAGAAGAAGAAAGAAGTGAAGCATCACTGGTCATATGTGCGGAAGCCCCAGAGTCAGGATACCAAACTGTAGGTTGAACCTCTTCATGGCTCATGGCAGCGATAGACTTCGGAATGGAATTGGAGACATAGAAGTGATTGAACCTATTTTTGCACTCCAATGCAATGTGATTATAATGAAAGCAAATTTGACATTGCTTTGCAGGATTGGGAGTAAATGGAGAATGACCCAAAATTCCATCAGATGGTTGAAAAATATGACTTGGAGGTCGAAATGCATTCCATTGAGCAGAAAAAGATCGAGAAGGATTTCCACGTCCTCTTCCATTAGAATGCCTACCATTTTTACCACGACCACGTCCACGTTGTTGCTCCCTGTTGAATTGATTACCACTGTTAGGTTGTCCTTGAGTAGTAGCAACTAAAGCAGTGGTTTGTGAACACGAATCTTCTATAGGAGTGTTCTTGATATGTGCCTCTTCCGTAAGCAACAATGGTCTCAAGGAAATAAAGGAAGGCAGATTGCCACTAGCGTTGAGGCCAGACACAAATGTACGATAAGACGAAGGAAGGCCTTGCAAGACTTGAGTCACAAGATCATCTTCAGTAATGATCTTACCTATAGCCCTAAGGGAGCAAGCCATATAGTGGAGTTGTTGTAAGTAATCTTCCATTGAGAGAGACCCTTTCTTGAAATTTTGAAACTTAGATTTTAGGTGAATAGCCTAGGAGGACACTTGGTCAAGATACAAGGATGCCAAAGTATCCCAAGCATCCTTGGATGTTTCACAAGAAAAATTGAGAAGAGTATCAAGGACGGGTGGAGAAAGGGTTGCATTAATCCAACTCATTGTAATTGTATCACACTGAGTCCATAGCTTGAATTCAGGATGATCAACTGAAGGATATGGAATAGAGCCATCAATAATGGAAAGAAGATTGTGACTCTTTAACACAGTAAGAAAAACTTTCTTCCATGTTAAGTAGTTCAAATAGGTTAACTCAATGGGAACAAATCCTTTGATGTTTGAAACGGTTGGGGGAGGAAGTGGAAGGCCAAGGGACGATTGAGTTGAGGAGGAAGTAATAGTTTCAGAATCCATGGTTGATCGAGTGGCTCTGATACCACGATGAAGTAAAGAGTTAGATGAGAAAATTTAGTTTGAAGAATATGCCAACTTGTGTCTAGCTTCTCATTACACATATTTATACAAATACAAATACCAAATTCTCTATACCGTACAAACTCTTGTACTTATCTCTATTCCCTAAACAATACAAACTCTTGAAACTTATCTCTATCAAATAGGAGAGTGAGTGAAGAAAAGGGGCCGGGGAGAAAGAGGACAAAAGAACACTTTGTAAAAGTATTATCTGAGAGTGAACACAAAAACAGTCTTGTTCATCTGAGAAAATCCTAAGATTCCCCAATCATCTTACACTTATCCTCCCCCCTACATCGATTTCATCAATTAAAGTTTCATTGCACATTTAAGTCTTCACATTTATGAGCATTTATTCGATTTCAACATATTTGTTACATCGTTCATCTTGCTAAACTCCTTCCATCATTTGATCTAGATTTTGTTGTGCTTGACTAAGATTGACCTTATCATTATCATTAATTATTTTAATCGAAAGGGTTTTGACATCTTTTGGTCAAACAAGTGGGAGACAGAGAAGAAAGAAATTACAATACAGATGAACATAAACGTGAGGAAGAGTAGTATCTCATTTTGTTTTGCATTTCTTTTTCACATGAATCAACCGCAATTATCACCTCTTTCTTACACAAAATTAAACGAGGTAGACATTGGTCTGACTCGTCTCTTGCCTTTGTTCTTACAGAACCAACCACGATCATGGCATGATGGAGAAAGATTAAGTTTGAAATTTGAACTCTCAAAGATTAGGGTAATATGGGGTTGTTTTGGCCATAGGTGAAGCTACAGTTGAGTAGAATGGCGGTTAGCTTCATTCTAGAAAAGATGTTTTTTTTTCTTCAAAATGAGTATTAAAGTTGATGCTAAAGAAAGTTTGAGGAAGGTTATGGAGACGTATTTGGTATTTCATAACATATGGGCTAAATGCAATCCAAGCCCTTAAAATGTTTAAGTAACACGTGGCATAAATCAGAGACTCTATTAAAAATTACTGGAGTAATCTCTACTGGATGGTCAAAGCTAATGACATTAGGCAAAAGAACTAAGATATGCATGACTAACACTACTAGAATTCCGGGAAAAAGCGACTAAACTTTAGCGACCAAAGTTGGTCTGTCAAGAAAAGCGACCAACGTTGGTCTCTAAATTGGAGAAAATAATAAAATAATTATTTTAAATACATTAGCGACCAAAGTTGGTCGCTATTTGGTTAATAATTTCGTCAAAATGTTGACCGGGCTGGTCAGACTTGCTTGGTCAAAAAAATACTGAGATTAGCGACCAACGTTGGTCGCTATTGTGGGACCCACTTATTAAATTTTAATAATTATATTATTATTTAAAAAAATTATAAAATATAATAAATATAATTCAAAGTTAGCGACCAAAGTTGGTCGCTTATAAAATAGAGACCAACTTTGGTCACTAATATGGGACCCGTTTAACAATTATATTATTATTTTAAATATTATATAAAATATAAACAAATCTGATTTAAATTTAATTTAAATTTAAGTATAATTAGCGACCAAAGTTGGTCTCTTTTCAGGTCAACAATGGTCAAAATTAAAAATTACTTTTGTATTTACTATCTAAATAATATAAATGTAAGCCGTTAACACTTTTGTAATACAAGGGATGAATAGACTAAAATATACTCTAACATGCTATGCACTAAGTATAAGCGTATTAGATAATATTATATCGAATATGGCTTATATATATGTAATATATATAGTTACGCTGTACTATGCACTAAGTACAAGCGTATTAGGTAATATTATATCGAATATGGCTTATATATATGTAATATATATAGTTACGTTGTACTATGCACTAAGTATAAGCGTATTAGGTATTATTATATCGAATATGGCTTATATTTATTAATATATATAGTTACGTTGTACTATGCACTAAGTATAAGCGTATTAGGTAATATTATATCGAATATGGCTTATATATATGTAATATATATATATATATATATATATATATATATATATATATATATATATATATATTAATATTAAATTAAATTAAAAGTAATTTAATTTTTTTTAGATATAGCGACCAATGTTGGTCGCTGTTCTGGTCAAACGGCCAGAAACTTAGCGACCAATGTTGGTCGCTATTTTGGTCAAAATAGTGAATACATTTTGGCTCCAAATAGCGACCAAGGTTGGTCGCTTTCTGTAAATACAGTAGCTAAAAAAACGGGTTTCCCTCATATTCTCTTATTTTTTCTCTCTCTTCTCTCTCTCACACCAAACTCCCCATCCCCTTCCGTCTCCCTCCATCGACGCCGCCGTCGCCCTCCACCCTCCACCCCGCCGGAGGCAGCAAGCAGCTCCACCGCCGGTGTCCTTCACTGTCCAGGTAGGTTTCTCTCTCCTTCCTTTATTTTTTCGAAATACACAGATTTATTTTAATTTTTGTAGTTTAATTTATAAAAAATTAATTGTTCTTAGCTAAATTAAATGTAGGATAATTATTAGTAGCTAAAATAATTAGTTTTACCTACTAATTTGGGGGGAAATAGGTTGAAGAGAAGAAACCCTAAATTTTTAGGGTTTATGTTAAGTCTTGTTATGGTTGGGTCAAATTAGAATTTAGTTCTTGTGAGGATTAGAATCTAGATCTGATTATCTTGATATTTATTTTATTTCATTGTTTGACTCATGTAGATTTTCCTAAATAGATAATTAATAAATTTATCTTTGGAAGTTAGGAGTTATTAATTTGAGAATACACCCCTTATATTTATAAATAAAACACTTAACCCATTACAATATTGGGCATATTACACATATATAGCTACATACTTAGGATATGAATTGAAATTTTGGTTTATTGTAATTGAAATTTTAGGATATGACTTGAACTTTTGTGGATATGAGTTGAACCTTTAGGATATGAATTGGACTTTTAGTTTATGAATTGAGGTTTTGGTTTATGTATTGGAATTTTAGTTTATAAATTGAAATTTTAGGATATGACTTGAACTTTTGTGGATATGAGTTGAACCTTTAGGATATGAATTGGAGTTTTAGTTTATGAATTGAGATTTTGGTTTATGTATTGGAATTTTAGTTTATAAATTGAAATTTTAGGATATGACTTGAACTTTTGTGGATATGAGTTGAACCTTTAGTATATGAACTTTTAGGATATGACTTGAAATTTTAGGATATGAATAGAACCTTTAGGATATGACTTGAACCTTTAAGATATGAATTGGAATTTTTGTTTATGAATTGGAATTTTAGATTATAAATTGAATTTTTTTTGGATATGAGTTGTACCTTTAGATATGAATTAAAATTTTGGTTTATGTATTGGAATTTTAGATTGCGGGAGGATTTTGTAGAAGGGGTTGATGGTAATATTAGACATGCAATGGAACTTCCACCAAGAATAACTAAGACACAGTACCTGGTAGAGTGTGCCTTTAATTGTTCTTCTCATTAGCGACAACGATGATGAGAAGGCAAGAACATGTGTTTCAAATAGTTATGGTGTAGGTAGGAGTTTAACATTTCCTAAGTAGATAAAAGAAGAGGTAATAGAGGAATTCTATATTTCAATTTTCAAGAGGAAAAGGAGTTTAATTGGGAGTGACAAGGTTGATGGTGATGAAATATTTTCCGTTGGTCATGGCAGTTCCCATAAAATGGGGATCATAAGACTCTATGATGACAGAGATTATAGGAAGTTTTGTTCTTAACTTTCTTCCAAGTCTGATCCGTACAAGCTTAGTGGGATATTGGTGATATATTCTTCGGATTCACAAGAATATATCACCAATATCCCATTAAGCTTGTACGGATCAGACTTGGAAGAAAGTTGAGAACAAAACTTCCTATAATCTTTGTCATCATAGAGTCTTATGATCCCCGTTTTATGGGAACTGCCATGACCAACGGAAAACATTCCATCACCATCACCCTTGTCACTCTCAATTAAACTTCTTTTCTTCTTGGAAAATGAAGTAGAGAATTCCTCTATAATCTTTCTTTTATCTACTTAGGAAATGTTAAAATTCCTGCCTATACCATCTCTAGTTGAAACACATGTCATTGCAGTCTCAACATCATTGTCGCTAACGAGAACAACAATTGATCAAAAGACACACCTTGTCAGCTACTGTATCCAAGTTATTCTCTGTATCCAAGTTCATCCCGAGTAATAGTACCATGAGGATAATCACCAAAGCCACCGGACAGCTTTATGATGCCAATGAAGCAAGATGAGCTATTCAATGAAACTCGTATTGTAAAGAAGAAGAAAGAGACTGATTCAGAAAGGTGGGTCGAGGTTCGAGCCTCGACTATACATGTAAGTTTTTTACTTATCATTGAGTATTTTGATTTACTTTTATATAAATTTTGAAATATTAAATCAATATAATTTTTCTTATAGGTTCGCTTCAAAGCTGATGTGGGGGAATTCATACGAAGTCAGTCACCTAACGAGTCGGCCGGGGCAATCCAACTTTCGAACGAGGATGCTAAAAGAACACTCCTTGAGTACTTTATATACTTTGAACTAGATAATAGAACTAGTTTTCGAATGAGCTTGTAATAAACGTTAACTTAGTTTTGTTAGCTTAATGTTTTAGTTCTATTGATCTTTATATTTTGTTGCGTTTTAGTGTTGTTGTTGTTGTTGTTGTTGTTGTTGTTGCTGGCATAAAATGCCTGTTTAGGATATTTGTTATAAGCTAGCAGGTGGTGTAGCAGCCAAAACAGGCAGATTCTGCCAAAAATATACCAAAAAAACGACCAACTTTGGTGTCTAGTTGGTCGCTATTCACTTAAAAAAAAAATCTGGTAATTTTGCGACCAAGGTTGGTCGCTTATAGTTAAAAAAAAATTAATTCTTTCCATTGGAGACCAATATTGGTCGCCCAATAAATAAAAAATTATAACATTTATTAA